CCATGTTCCGTACCAGTACCGAGGCTGGCAGTCGAGGTGAGTAAATCTAGCAATCTTCCAGTGTTTCATCGCTAACCCTCACAGTCGGCTTTACGGGCTCTGGCAAGGGCATGACCGAAACCCACAAGCGTCAGCGTTATGACCACAAGGCCGACGCCGACCAGGACGAGGAGTACTCTGGCGACCGCAAAGGCTTCTAGACCTCCAAGGCGAGGTCGACGAATTCTCCGTGGTACGTACAAGTGTGATCGAAAACATTTGATACTCTGAATCCCTTGCTTACGTTGCCCTCGGGCCAACTTCAGACCTAGATATACCTCAGCTACATGGAGTGATCCACTGTTGATCGAGAAGCGAAGCTTTGGCTTTGTATAAGAGGATGGAGCTGACCTGATGCAGGAGTTCGCACTCGTCCCAACTTGTCACGACTACTCGATTGAGTCCACACGAAGACCACGACATTTGCATCTTTCGGTATGACTCTTCGGTACACACTCTCGTCTGTTGAGCCAACTCACTAAGCACGACGACTCGATAGGCGTTCGATACCCACTTCATCTGACATCACTGGTCACGCATGGCTAGGACCAGTTACATTGTCAGGTAAGATACATGCACTTTTACTTTCTCCTTTCGTGCGTGCGTACAATAGCCACTACTATTGTGCGTACCATCATCTGCGGCCAGGTCTTTTACGTAGTCGGTCGGACAAATAGCGTTTGGGGACTGTTCATAGGAATCAAATATTCAAGTTCAAGATCTCTTGCCACCGTGCCATAGCCATGAACAATAAGTGTAGACTCGTGTTCTACGCGAAGGACGTTGAGTTGCCGAGCACCTTCCAAGGCGGTGGTCGCGGCTTTGTTCCCGGATGCCCCGCGGTCCCACCAGCACACATCCTCGCGTCTTCTAGCTCCGGCCTCACCCCACGCCTCGACGGTCCAACTACCGCGACGCGTCCGTCAACCACGAAGCGCAAGGCATGTCGGGACTGCTCCCTAGAGCTCCTGGACTGCAACACGCGACTTCAGCATGGAGGCGGACTGGGACGAGGTAGGTAGCCGACGGCATGCCAATCACGCCTACCGTACTGACCACTGCGCAGCTAGCCATCGCTCAATTGCCGCCCCCAGGACCACACCTACCCGCTGTACCCATATCGACGTTCGCTTTCGACACAACACAAGAACTGCTATGGACAGGAAACAACCATGTGAGTACGTTCACACGCGACCCGTGCCAGGTGCCGTGCGACTGACATCTTCGCAGGGGCGCGTCACGTCTTTCTACGGCCCTCACCTCGAACGCTACACCTCGTACCGCGGACATGCGCCTCCCGATGGCCCCGTCAAGCAATTCCTCTTCACCGAGAAGGGGATTCTCTCCATCTCTAAACAAAGCGTCCACTATTCCCACCGCCGCGGACTCACACAATGGCATCTGACGTATGTTGGTTGCGGAAGGGGAAAGAGCGCACAAGGGCAGCGGCTGACCATCAGCGTATAGGAGCGCCGAGTTCAAGGACATGACATGCATGAACTTCACCTCCAAAGGCACGCGCGAGATCCTCGTCGCAGGATGCCAGGCGCAAATGTTCAAAGTAGACGTGGAGAAGGGCATCATCACACACACGGTATATCGCATGCCTTCATTAATTACCCTGAACTAACCAATCGAAGCTCCCTAACGAAGCTCAATACACCATCATGAAGCGTGCTGGACAGTACCTTTGCGCCGCCACGAAGACCGGTAGCATCCACATCTTGGACTCAAATTCGCTTGCCGTCATCAAGGTGTTCGAAGGTCATACTGGTAGCATCAACGACATGGACGCAAAGGGCGATTTCCTTGCAACATGCGGATGGTCTCCACGACAACAATATGCATATATGCTGGACCCATTCACCAATGTCTTCTCTTTGAAGACGCTGAAACAGCTACCTCCCATCCCATTCCACACAGGTGCAGCCTATGTGCGCATGCATCCCCGTATGTCTACTACAGCTTTCATCGCCTCTCAGAACGGCCAGATGCAGGTCATCGATCTCATGAACCCCGACTCGGCCAACCTCCGGCAACTGAACTTCTACGATTCGTTCCTCACTGGCTTTGAGATGGCACCTTCTGGCGAGGCTATTGCACTAGCAGACTCCAACTCGCACATACATCTTTGGGGCTCTCCGACCAAAGTACACTTCCCAGAATACAGCAACCCAACAGAGACTGCAGATCATAATGTTCCACCGCCCCCACAGATGGATTGGAACCCTGACACGTAGGTCTTACCGATTTTCAAACTTGACGTATTGCTTACTCTGCCCAGACCCCTGAGTACTGTTGGTATGCCATATTACAAGGAACAGCTGCTTTCGAGTTGGCCTAGTCATCTAGTTTTCGAAGTCGGTGCCCCTCCGCCTAAGATTGATAGCACGATACTCGGCAACATGACGCGCGCCGAGATTGGATTCTACGCCAAAAACCCCAATACGAAGCGCAGAAACCAAGCCGAAGCAACACGGCAGGTGGATAGAGTGAGCGAATCGCTGTCTGCCCCCAAGTTTCTAAGTGAGAAAGCTCGGGCATCGCAGTCCTTCGCCGAGCCAGATGCCCGGATAACAGAGACTATGGAGACTTTGACCGACCTGCATCTCGACGATGTTACACGCAAAGATGTTCCAGCCATGTATGGAAACGTGGAGATCAAGTACAGCAAGTTCGGTGTTGATGACTTCGACTTTGCGTATGTCAATCCAACAATATCATTTGCCCACGCACTGACACGGTACCAGCTACTACAACCAGACACCCTACTCTGGTCTAGAGACTCACATTACCAACTCTTACGCCAATTCACTTCTGCAACTCTTCCGATTTACGCCGCTGCTACGAAATCTTGCTCTGCAACACACTGCTTCGCCATGCCTCTTTGAGTCTTGCCTTCTTTGCGAACTGGGGTTTCTCATCGATATGCTCGAAAAAGCGGCTGGGCTCAATTGTCAAGCATCTAACTTCTTGAAGACCTTCAGTGGTCTTTCGAATGCAGTCTCACTAAATCTGCTTGAAGAGTTTGCTCCCAACGTTGCACTTACCACTATGATCCAGAACCTCAACCGCTTTCTGTTGGACAAGATTTCCGAAGAATTCCGACAAATGCTTCCAGGGCACACTGGGCCTTCAGCCATGGATCAAGTACTGGAAACCCAAGCAAAAGCGAGCATGAGATGTGCACAGTGCAATAACGAAACCATCCGTGGAGGCAAGAACTTCGTCAATGAGCTCGTATATCCTGCGAAGCAGGTGATGAGGAACACGAGAATAGCACGCCCGACCTTCTCACAGATCTTGAAGGCCAGCGTCGAGCGGCAAGATCAAACTCGGGGTTGGTGTACAAAGTGCAACCGTTATCAGCAGATGGTACAGCGGAAGACGATACAGTCAGTACCGGGAGTGCTGATGCTTAACGCTGCCATACAAAGTCATGAATCCAAGTTGTTGTGGTCGACGCCTAATTGGCTTCCGCAAGAGATCGGGATCATAGTAGATCAAGGTCAATTCTACTGTTTCGAAGGCCAAGACCTGAAGCTACACCTGCAACGCGGAGTACATCAGATCATGGTCTATGAACTTGTTGGAGTTGTCGCGGATATCAACAGCGGCGAGCGTCAGAAGCCTCACCTGGTAGCGACCATCAACACCGCACCTTCGTCACGAGAAGAGGATTTGGAGGACAGATGGCATCTCTTCAACGACTTTCTAGTGAGGCCAATTCCCAAAGAGGAGGCTCTACGCTTTGATACAAGTTGGAAGCTTCCGTCTGTCCTGACCTTCCAGCTAAAGTCTGCCCGTAACAAGATTGACGATTCGTGGAAACAAAACCTTGACACTTCCATTCTGTACAGGTGGTGGTCGTCTAACCCAACTCCTCCCGAGGAGAAATTTAAGCTGCTTCAGCACTCATCAGAAGAGCCTCGCCCTGGCTACCCAGTCGCCATCGATGCCGAGTTCATCCGCCTTCAAGCTGAAGAGATCGAAATGAAGGCTGATGGCACGCGCCAGACCATTCGTCCTGATCGTAAGGGCCTAGCTCGTGTCTCTGTATGTCGTGGCGAGGGAGAGCAGGCAGGCCTTCCCTTCATCGATGACTACATTGCTGTAACCGAACAAGTGGTCGACTACCTCACCGAATGGTCTGGTATATCTCCGGGCGACCTCAGCCGCGAAACCTCTCCACACGCACCGGTATCCCTGAAACACGCCTACAAGAAGTTATGGCTGCTACTCAATCTAGGATGTGTCTTCGTCGGCCACTCACTTGCCAACGACTTCCGCACCATCAACATCCACGTCCCCAAGAACCAAGTCGTCGACACAAGCAACCTATGGTTCAAGCCAGACTTCAAGCGAAAACTTAACTTGAAGTTCCTGGCTTGGTGTGTACTAAAAGAGAGCATCCAAGAGGATACGCACGATTCGATCGAGGATGCGACGACGGCGCTGAAGCTGTGGAGAAAATGGCAGGAGTTTGATGATGCGGGCGTGTTGGAACAGATGTTGAATGACGTCTATGCTAAGGGCAGTCTGGTGGGATTCAAGGCGCCAGGTAGTGGAGGGAGAGCTGTTGGGAATGGAGGGCAGGGACATAGGGCTGTGAGTGGTAGCTATGGTGGAGAAGTACCGGATCCGTTGACGACACCGAAAAAGGGCGGCAGTCAGTTTGGTAGTATGGGCTTCCGCAGTCCGCTCAGGCGCTGATATATGACTTTGTGTGTAGGTAGAGACGAAATCATACTATTGGGAAATTAAATATCACTCCACCAAAGTTTCCACGTTCTGCCGTTCATCTCTTGGTCTTGTAATCGCTTTTACTGCACGATGGAATGTTGATCCGGAGCAGGGCAATGAATTGATTTACTTCTATATTTTCAGCGGACCACAGTCCATGCTTTGGATCATGGGGCAGAGTCAACACCAACTAATATCCACTCTCCGTATTACACCGATCATGCACCTCGCCAATACGCTGGATCATTCCTGTCTTCCCCATTCTGTCTCTCCTTCTCCTCTTCTTCAATAACTCTGACATCAATGGTCTTCCTTATGCCCTCCTCACCCAGAATGCTTTCTTCGCTCGTGTTCCTCGCATGAGTTTTGCTCGCTCTCTTTCCTGTTGATAGCACCGAGAACAACTCCATCTGATCGCGAGAAGCTTTCCGTCGTCGATTGTAAGCAGGCCTTCCACTGCCAACTGTGGGATAGTCGCTGGCGGGTCGAACGTAGGGGGACGAAGAGGATGAAGAGAAGACCTTGTTGAAGAGGGGTCGGTAGGCAGGCGCGGAGGCGGAGATCATGGCTACGTTCACTTCGATCTGGGAGAGGAGGAGGATCTGAGGGGGTGTGTCAGTTGACAGTGACTAGAAAATTTCTACTAGAGAAAGACGTATGATAACGAGGAGACTTACGAAGATGTCATCGTATGGAATATCTTTGGATACGGCGAAGACGTAGAGTGCGTAGAGGCGCATGATAGAAGCTATCACTGCGATGCCTCCTACCATGAAAATGCCCATAAGCGCGACTGTGCTATCTTGTTAGAGTCGCATCTCTGTAGGTTGATATGAGGTATACGTACAGCGCTTTCGTGGGTGCATGTTGAGTTGCTTGAAGACTTTGAACGGCATTATCAAGATGACTATGTCGGTGATGATGTTTACGGATGCCATAGCGAAGTACGTCCTTGGCATATCATTGCAGCCTTCTGGGAACTTGGCCGACCAGGCTCGGGAGGGCTTGGTGCCACATTCGAAAGCCTGTTCTTCGCAGTCAGTGGAACTGAAGGTAAAGAGTAACTTCGTCGTAAGCGCACGTTGATGAAAGTAACAGTGATGGTCTGTATGATGATAAAGCCTGCAGCATAGTATATCCAGCGTCGAAAGCTATGGTGCGTGAAGATCCGGTGGTACAGTGCTAAGATGCTGGCTTTCACGCAGAATAGCGCCCATGGGTAGACCAATTGGTATGCATACCTAGTTGTGTGTGGAATCAGCAAGGCCATTCAGACTGTAGTAGAGTGAGCTTGACTCACCAGTGTTTGAGAGTGGGTATCAAGAAGTGGTCGAAGTTGAGATCTTTAGATTGCCGTCTGAACGTGTTAGCTAGCAATCTTCTTCGTGATAGTGGACTAAGACTTACCCGGTACCATAGCTGACTTGAAAACCGTTCATGATGCCCAAGCCAATGGCTACTATCAGGGCGACGAGCATGAAGTAGTCGTCCAACCCCACACAACGTACGAGTATAGCTCGGCAGTACAATCTGAGCGAAACTGCGATCAAAGAGAAGAAGAGCAATACGCCGGTCGTGATGAGCATCATTGGCTGACGCGAGCCATTATCGCTGGTGATGTAAACACCGTCGCCTGCCATGGTATTGGTCTACATGCACGTGTATGCCGGAGTTGTACTGGGAGAAAGCATTGCCGGTGCGTGGGTATAAGACATAGTGATCAACCACGCCGCACACAGCATTGTTCATTGAGCATCTTCCCAGTAGGATGGCACGGCGGATGGTCAGATCAGATCGAAGACGAACGGAAGCCTACAAATCGCTGTAGCCAATCGCGCGCGGTCAACATGTGGCTTGCATTGATGTGTTTGTAACCGAGCGAGGCAGCACGTGGAAATTGTCATTTCGTGGATCTCCGATTACCACTTGAAGGGTTCGACCAAGCGCCACTGGAGATGAAAGTTCTTGTGCAAGGGGGATTGGTGAAATGCCTGTCTTGCGAATCCTCCGGATGTACATGTTCTTGGCGCTGCCCAGGTGGCGTAGGTACTGACCTGGACGCCCCAATCAATGCCGTGGTCAGGCATACCAAATGCCAAACGTAGTTCAGAGTGCAATGAATCGTGCTGCTACGCGTGTAGACAAAGTCCAGTGGTGTTAATGTTGCGCGCTGTTTACAATCATCAAAGTAGGATGGGACCTCGGGGAAGAAGAGAAGATCTGCCAAGCCGGCTCGAACGCCTTGGCACGCTTTTCGGCTGCGCGAACCGAATCAATCTCTCCAAAACTCGATCCTTCTCCTTCCCCGTCTATAGCGCAACAACAGATACCAGGCCAGGTCTGCCAAGAAAAAACGGGTGTACTATCTAAAGACGCAAATGCGGCGCAGGTCATATCGGTACCTGTTCGTGCAGTACACTACTAGCACTCGTCCCGTCTGCTGCCGTGTCTCCCGGATTTCCCATCAATCATTGCTCCGGCCATCAACTTCCCGAAGCGTTGCTGTCCAGGCTATAGCCGCATGTGAGATAAGTGGCCACTCAGAGGACGCGCGACTACGGGAGCGGACCATGCCCGAGTGTTGTTATCAGTTAAACTGATAGTTGGACATCGCTCTTTTACACCCGCTGTATAGCGCCTACTGACACAACAACATGTACTATGCCTTTCAATTAACTTCTACGGCAGCCGCAGACATGGGAGTTCTGTTCTGTCGCGTCTTTAACAGCGGCACACTCGGAGAAAATTGCCGGGAAAAACATCAACCCTGGAGTAGGCAAGAGCTCCGATGCTGCATATCATCCTGCAGGATGCTTTCGCTCTCAATCCTTACGCCCACCGGCTGCATGCGCCCAAGTTGCTCCCGTCCCTGCAAACATCAAGCACTGGGAGATGGTTATGCCTATGCCTGAAGCCAAACACACACTCGGCAACGAACAACACAGTGACATGAACACATCAGTTCAGGTCCCGCCTCTTGCAACACTTACCTAATCAGAATAAAACCACGTCTTCTGCTGGGTGCAAAACTGCAAACATGGGGCTTCGGACTACTTCCTCTCACCTTCGACAAGTCGACTTGATTCAGCCTCCCCGTGCTTAGCGAGTCATGTACGCGGTCGCTTCCTGAGTATCGGTATTTAATTTGCATTTTCTGGACTCAACATTTGCTATGCCACATAGGCGCATATAGACCCTGAATCACCATGCATGCGTAGAGCATCCTAGACCCGGAACTCTCACCAGAACCCAACAGTTCGTACCCAAGTACAGGTCCGAATTCGCTGCCCTTGTGGCCGCCTTGCAGCGTCGTACGTTAGTGCCTCGTTCTTCTCGGGGCAGACCGAGGCTTAGATGCACGTTGAGCGCCGCTGGTGGACTGATAGAGGGCTACATAAAAGCTTGAGACCCATCGTTATTTGGGTGAGTAGGTCGCTACAATTCACCTTGCCTTCAGTCATCGATCTCGAACGCCACGGCATATACATTAGTCGTCATGGTCAAACTACAGCTCCTTGTTTCATCGCTCTGCTTGGCGTCACTGTCAACTGCAGCAGCGCTTCCTCCAACCAATTCTGCCGTGTGCAAGAACCCTATCAAGCGACAGGAATGGTAAGACGGACCCACATTGGCACACGGTAGAATCTCGCTAATCATGGTGACATCACAGGAGACAGCTGTCTATCCCACAGAGACGGAACTATATCGACGCTGTTCTATGTTTGACAACAAAGAAAGCCGTGTCAGGGATCCCTGGCGCCCTAAATCGATTCGACGATCATCAGGCCGTCCACGTCAATCAAGCCGACCACATCCATTTCGTAGGACACTTCATCCTATGGCATCGTTACTTCGTCGCAACATACGAGAAGGCTCTCCGTGAAGAATGTGGTTATGCTGGCGCTCATCCCTACTGGAACTACTCCTTGGACGCAGAGCCTCACAACCCTACTTCTACCCGCGTTTACGACTCCGAGATATTCTCTCCCGATACCGGTTTCGGCGGCAATGGCAACAAGGTTGAGCCCCTCCCTGGACAAAACGAGTTCGGCATGGAGGGCGGTACGGGTGGTGGTTGCGTTCAAACCGGTCCTTTTGTCGCCTCCAAGTTCACCGTCAACTACCCCGGCCCAGCAGACTGTCTCCGACGCGACTTCATACCCGCTCTCATGAACACCTGGGCAGACCCCAAACTCGTAACAAAGCAACTCGAAGCACCGGATTACACCACCTTTGACCGCTTGATGCAAGGTGACACAACGTCTGGCGCTCCCAACATCCACGGAAGTGGCCATTTCGGTGTCGGTGGTGCGTTGGGCCAGGCTGGCAACGCTGCAAACTCGCCTGCTGAACCCCTTTTCTACTTGCACCACGCCAATCTAGATCGCATCTTCTGGGAGTGGCAGCAACTGGATTTGAAGACTCGTCTCAACCAGGTTGGTGGACCGATCATTCCGTTCGACTACAGCGGTCAGAACGTTACGCTAGACTACACGATCAATATTGGAAAGCTGGCGGGTGACAGGAAACTGAAAGAGCTTCTGGATACCACAGCAGGGCCGTTTTGCTACACTTATTAAGAGTGTTGGGAATGGACGTTCTCGTCTTAGCTTGCATGAGTAATGATATACATAATAATAATACTGCCAACAATCCGACCACCTCCTGTGTGAGCCGTCTATCATCTATTTACCGCATGGCGTCGGCTCTAGGAACCGTCTCGCCCCCCGGCTTGAATCTTCCTCTCCCCGTTCCGAATGTTCCAAGATTTTTGATCGCATTTCGCCAACGTCCATCCATTATGCGTACCCACTGCTAGTTCAGCAAGAGTGACTATGAGCTTGGTTGCAGCTTGTTGATGGCTCTCCGCCTCCAGTTCCCACTCTTGTATCGCTTCTTGAGCTGTGGACTCGCCATAAGTACCATGCTAAGAATGGTCTCAAAGATCTCCTTGGTGCCTTGGTGTCGTATTGAAGAGCACTCAAAGTACTTCAATACGCCAATGCTCTTTGCCAGTGCTTCGCCCTGCGGCGAGGTCAGTACTGCCATACGGCATATAGATGCAACGTTTCCCGCGCTCACCTGCTTCGTAGTTATGGGTGTCAGGTTTTGTTTACTGAGCTCTTCGATGGTTTTGGGATCATGTCGCAAGTCCTCTTTGAAGCCCAGTAAGAACACTGGGTCTGTTTTCCGTTTGTATTGACTGATCTCGGGGAACCACTACATACGATTAGCATTGCAATTTGCGGACTTTATGGTCGTATACACCCACTTTATCCTTAACATTCCCCAGCGAGTCTGGGTAGTCTATGGAGAAACATATGCAAAATATGTCGGTTTGCGCATAGCTTGTCGGTCGAACACGGTCGAAGTCACTCTGACCTGCTGTGTCCCATAAAGTACACTTGAAGTCGACTCCGTCTACGTGAAAGTCTGCGATGTAGTTCTCGAAGATCGTTGGAACGTAGACCTAGAATGATTAGCAGAGATATAGTTGTTGCAGTATTTCTTACCTCTGAGAAGATGCCTTTGGATGTAGAGCTACAAAAATGTTAGTCACACAACATCATAGTAGTGCTTTGTAAGCTACTTGCAGTAGAAAGCACGTCTTTCCAGACGCCCCGTCTCCCACGAACGTCCACTTCATCATAACTTGACCACCACCCAATATCTTTAAATCGTCCTTGCACAGCGGGCCGGTCTTGCGACTGGTTGTTTTCGACCTTGACCGTGGCGAAAGCAGTTGCGACAGCGAGAAGTTGCGACGTTTCTTGGTGGGTGTATCTTTCACTGTATCCTCGTCACCTGACAAATCCTCTCGAGAGTCAAGATCTGCCAGTCGACCCAGTTCTGGGCTGGAGATCGTGGGTGATGCAAAGGTGAGGCTACCTGTGCTTGTCTGCCGAGGTTGTACATGGATAGGGCTGGGGCAGGGTCGTCTGGTTATTGTTGGAGTTGATGGCGTTGTGGTAGGTTGTGAGGCCGAAGGGCTTTCTGTGCCGCTAGAATTCAGATCTGGTGAGCGCATTAAGGTATCAGAGGAGCGCGCCTGCTCATTCTGGAGTGACGATACCCAATTCAATGTTAGGTTACTTGGCGCAGAGTCGTACGATAACCAATGAAACTCAGACACGACATCGGAAGTTGCTGCAGACTCGTTTATGGTATCATCGTCTCCGAGTGCTGTCGAGGCAGATGCGACTACGGTCTCCGCTGTCCTGGCGCATCTTTTCAGATGGCTTATGCTCGCGTTATCAGTACTCTGCCGCTCAACAAGTATTGTTTCCAGCGCTGTGAGCTTGACTTCGAGGTTGGTGGCAAGTCGACCAAGATCTTCGTGAAGGTCGTATGACCTGTCTAGTATCTCTGTTGTATTCTGTGCGACAGTACACTGTTGGAAGCTTCGTGGTGTTAGACGGAAGTGATGGCATGGGCTGACTAACTCACAAGATCACGGACTGGAAGGAAAGCTGCAGAGCGTCTCTGTAGGCTTGGATCTCTTGTCTGTACATGATGATTTGATCATTGGCTTCTTTGAGGCGCAGTGCTCGTCGTGCAGAGTCTAGATATCTCACCTCTTTATTGACCAATACGAGTAGCGATTCTAGCTTTTGCAGGCTCTCGCATCCGTCGCCAAGGGTTGTTTGTAACGCGGACCAGTGTGAACCGATATGACCGGTCAGAGGCGCCCTGCTGTCCAAATCTTCGAACCCATCCTCGATCAGATCGAGTACAGTCTTGAGAGCTTTGAGATCAGCTAGCATCGCATTGACGTTGTTAGTTGCTTCTGCAGCGCCACTCCGCAGCTTCTTGAGCTCGATGCCCGCTTTGGATGCTAGGGTAGTTAATGTAACAACTCCCAAGGTTATCGAGAAAGGATCCATAATTGAGAATGAGATATGAAAATCGCGACGAAACAAGGCAGGGGCTTACAGAAGACAGCTGTTACGAAACGTCACTGATCTCGAAAGGCTGACCGCGGGGTAAGCAACTCGCAGCACTGGGCTGAAGGACCGCGATGTGCAGCGCCACGGGCAGTGCATCCCCAATTAGAATGCTGTTGCGTAGAGGCGCAGCAACATCGCATCCCACGCAGAATGCGATCTTCCACAATCCGACGTAAATCTACTACGGTGAACTGTCTCGCGCTGGAAAACCCGTTGAGCGTATGAAAATGTCTACATCGCCTTTCGCTGTATCTAGCTTGCAGATCAGTCTGGCGCTTGGCCTTGGTGCTTACTGTTGCAACCAGAATATCTGATATGAATACCTCTTAAGCTTCAACAGAATGAGATGGTGAGACTATCGTAACGGTGATTTTTGTTGAAGTCTGCGTTGTTGGTGAAGCCGCGACTTCCAGGAGATCGCGAGACAAGCGCGGGGGCACGCTGACAACTCCAGGCTAGCGTCAAGCCTCGCAAACCTAGGGAAGGAAGTCTCACGAACCCTACATTGCCATCTGGTCTCAATGCCAGCTCTCACTAGCGATATGCCTTGGCTTCTGCTTCCGCTGGCACACGTATATCCGGCTGATTGTCTACTCTTGAAATCGCACCTCCGAACAGCCTGACAGCACTCATCCCTGCAATGCCACTTGTGAACACGAGCATTGGTTGATCGACCAATCCCAGGGTACAAAGCGACACCCCTGTGTAGGCGCGAATGCAACATCCAGCTATGCCCAACTCTCACGAATATAAGCCTCTTAGCGAGCGCTACATCCGGCTTCTCAAACTTCCCGAGACCGCGCAGCCTAGCCAAGAGCCTGATATCGTTGAAGTATCTTTGGAAGCTGCGCCTCCATACGAAACTATTTCCTATGTATGGGGCGAGCAAGAGAAATCTTGCGTTTTTGAGTTGGGATCAGGGAAGTCGGTCCTCATCACACCTACATTGCGCACTACACTTACGCGAATTTGTCCTCATTGCCAAACAGGCTACCTTTGGGTCGATCAGGTACGGCAATACACTACAGAGCAGATGGAGGTGCCGTACTGACTCTATCGTGACATCCATAGTTATGTGTCGACCAAACAAGCATCCCCGACCGCAATCAACAAGTCGCTCTCATGGGCGAAATCTACAACCGATGCCAACGCGTCTTAATCTGGCTCGGGCAAGAAGTACAAGACACCGAATCCCTGTCGCATTATTTCGAAAACAGCTCATTCGCAGCACCCCAGCTCCAAGCCTCGTTATCATTTTCGTCAACAAACAGTCATGTACCACCCGACCAGAAAGACCTCATCTTCCCCCTTCCCCGCCAACAATCCTTCGTACGATCTCTACTATCACTACCCTGGTTCAGCAGAGCCTGGGTCGTCCAAGAAGCCGTTCTACCACCCAAAGCCACCTGCTTCCTCGCCTCCTCCACCTTTCCCATCGACGAGCTCTGGGCCGTTATCCGGCGCTTCAGAAGCTCAGAAGACCGCATAGCATCCGCGGATTACGTCGGGCTACGACAGTTACAAGGCTACCTCGTGCTGAGCGAGATCATGCGCCTGAGAGACCAACGGATGGACGTCACAGGTGAAAGCAGTGGTGGTGAAGAAAAACCTTCTTTCTACCACTCGCTCTCTCTGTTTGCGCCGAGGTGTAGGACTACGAATAAGCATGATATTGTCTATGCGTTTCTGGGGCTGCAACATAAATCGCAGATAATTATCTTGCCTGATTACCATATTGATTGGAATGAGGTTCCTGTTATGGTTACCAGGTCCATCATCGAAGAGACCGAGAGTTTGGATCTCTTTGGTGTATTACACCGGCGCGACGACGACGCGACTCGGTGGTTAAATCTTCCATCGTGGGTTCCAGATTGGTCGCGACGGTTGAAAGCAGAGGCGTTTGTGTTTCCGAAATATCACACGTACTTCGACGCCGCGCGCGGGATGCGGCATAAGCCGGAGAAACGAGATGGTATCTCTTCATCTTATTTGATCGTCAGAGGGAAGATAATCAGTGAGGTTACGCATACACTACCCTTCACCCAGATTGACAGAGAACCAGCGACAAGCCGACATCAATGGCCCGTACATTCCTATCTCAACATCGCGCGCTTGGTAGATGTTCTCCGAGAAATTTGGCCAGAGGGACGTACTACACCATCCAGAGAGCACATATTAAAAACGTGTTTAGCAGATGGCTCATTCGTGTTCAACCGAACAAGATCAGACCACAACCGCAACGGAATGTCTACCGCCGACATAAAAGTTTTGCTACAGACATACGAGTACCTGCATGCACTTGCTGCACTCCAGGATACTCAGCCATGTAAACCCACCAAATCATGGAAGATCAAAGCGACTCAACTCCGTGATCATGCTCGCGTAGCTTGGGGCCGACAGGTTATCGTAGGACGCGATTGGAGACTTGGGCTTGCACATCATTCGGTCTGCGAGGGCGACTTGGTATGTGTCGTCCACGGCTCGAAAGTACCTCTTGTGCTCCGTCGTCTTGCAAATGGTTATTATCGCTTGATGGGCCAGTGCTATTTGGAGGGCACTATGCGCGGCGAAGAAGTAACTTGGGATGAGGCGAGTGCAGAAGAATTCGTACTTGTGTAAGCGTTACTGCCCCTTGTTGTCACTAAGCAAATGGCAAAGCACGTTCCATCACATAAGACAAAAGCGGATATCACGATTCCCATTTACAACTTCGTCTCCGTCCCCCTCAACGCCTCTATATCGACGACTTCCTTGACCGCCTCGGTGGTGAGGACGTACGGACTCTCATCGTCTACACAAACGCTATCTTCAATTCTCATGCCTATACCGCGCGCCCATTTGGGCCACCGCTCTTCATTGGGGACGTAGATACCGGGCTCAACGGTAACACACATGCCCTTTTCAAATTTCCTACTCCGGCTCAGACCAGGGGAGTCGTGCACATCAAGGCCAACGTAGTGACCCACGTGATGTGGAAAGAGGGTTTGGATAGCATCGGCATCCATGTCGAAGCCGAGATCCTTTAGACCGGCGGCTAGGGAGTTGGAAGCTGTATGGTGTAGTTTGTCGAGGGTGAAATTTGAATCTGTGCGGCAGAGGGAGATGCAGGATCTTTGTACCGCGAGCAGGAGGGTGTAGAGATCGCGTTGGGCGGGGCTGAACTTGCCGGATACAGGCCATGTGCGTGTTATATCCGTGACGTAGCCGCCGTACTGGGCGCCCGCGTCGACGAGGACGAGTTCTTTGGGGTTGAGCAGCATGTCGTTGGAGACGTAGTGGATGGTGTTTGCGTTGATGCCACCGGCTACGACGGGGACGTATGCCGGGCCGTCGCAGTCATCTTGCTTGAACCAATAGTCGAGGAAGGAATCCAGGTCTTTCTCCGTGGTGAAGGACTGTCGCATAGCGTCTGTGATGGCGCGGCCCGAGTGCTGGCCTGCACGGCGCATGTTTGTGATTTCGGCTTCGGATTTGATGAGGCGGAGTTCATTGACGAGGGGGCGGAGGGGTCGTACGCTTGCGGATGCGTCGCGGAAGACATTGAAGATACCGCCTGTGCGTGAGGGCTCTGCGCCGGCCAGGTACCGTGAGAGCAGGTTTTTGGATACTCGGGATTGGGGGAGGTCGGTGTATATGGCTTGCGCGCGGTTGACTATGTCGGGGAGCAGGCGAGGTAGATCGTCGATGCTGCCGCTCACGTCGGCGTTGAAGACGTCTTCTGCAGCCTCAACGCCTGATCGTGGGCCCTCCCAGGCTTCCACCTTGGGGTCCTTGGGCCGGACGTACAGATGGAATGTGTGCTCCCCATCTCCGTGTTTCTCTATTATAGCCACCGCATCCTGCTCTCTAAACCCCGTCAAGTACAGGAAGTCAGGGTCCTGGTGGAACTTGTAGAAGACGGCGCCGGACGCATATTTCAGGTCGTTTGCAGCGAGGATGGCGGTCGAGTTCGGGGGCAGTTCTTTGGCGAGGGCGGCGCGGCGTTGGTGGTACTCGAGTGCCGTGATACCGGGGGTGACTGCAGCATGTTAGTAGAGGGTAAGACGTTGCTCGGGCGGTCATCACCTTCCCCAGCCTTGAGTAGGTGTGGATGCGTCTCATGGAGCGGTTGGCCAAATCGGAGTTCAGCGGCGGGCACAGCAGCGGCCGCATACGCCCTCGTGCCGCCGACTCTGGGCTGCACCCGCCCGACGCGTCTCGCAGCATCGCACCGGTAGGGCACGCGTGCAGCCGGTCGCAGCCATCTCAGGGCAAAAGTCATGGTCGTTGGCGGAGGTTTGGCTCGGGCGAATCAAGCTTCGGCGGAAGAGGCATCGGTTTCCCGGCCTGGTGGGCGCTAGGCCGCTGGTGGGGGAGAGCCTGACGTACCTTGCAGGTGCCACTACCGCCGCAGCTTCCCCCCTCCCCGCAAACACCTCCAGGCCCCCGTTTCTGCCTGTCGGACAGACAACGCACACATGACACGCCCGGCCGCTTATCTTCCTCCTCTTCGCACGCCCAGTCTGCGAAGAAGACCACCACCGCCGTGACGCTGCCCAACATCATCCGCAGAATGGCCTCGTCGGCCGCCCAACCCAGCGTCGTTCCGCCCAAGGACCTCGAGAGCTTCCAGCAACACCTGACCAAGTCGACGCGTATTCTCGCGCTTCTCGGTGCGGGGCTATCAGCCTCTTCTGGACTACCCACTTTCCGAGGTGCTGGGGGTATGTGGAGGACGCATGACGCGACCTCACTAGCGACTCCCCAGGCCTTTGAGCGCGATCCAGGACTCGTGTGGCAATTCTACAGCTACCGACGGCACATGGCCCTCAAAGCCAAGCCCAATCCCGCCCACTACGCCCTTGCCGAACTGGCGAAGAAGAAGGAGCAATTTATCACGCTGAGCCAGAACGTCGATGGTGAGTCTCCACCGCAGACCCCTAGCAGTCGCATAGCTA